GTTTAGCTTACCGGATTCTTCCCAGGCTGGAGGTTGCTGGCTGAGTCTCTGGGGGACCTTCCCTCTTCCTACTTGATGGGAATGAGTCATGATTCTGGCTGAGATGGGAACAGGTTGAAATCTTGGCAAAGACAGACCCTCTGTTGGCAGAGACAGGAAAGAGCTCTTGGGGGCCATGCATTTCTCTGTCACCTCTCGAGTTCCCCAATGACAGGCACAGCTAAGGGATGCTAGTGTAAAACTTGCCATCAATATTTCAAGCAAACAGCATTATTTATTGATCACTCATCTGGCTGGGACAAAAGGAGAGGGTAATTCATTAGGGATGCAGGGTTGGTGGGGTCATTTTGGGAAAGAGGTCAGGGAAAGGTAGGTCACTAAGGAGCCCCAACCTTGGCTCTTGCAAAAGTACCTTGGGATCGCAGCATTTGGAAATTAGGGTCTTTTTTCTCCTTTTTTAATCCTATAGTGCCCCAGACGAAATTAAGGGAAGGGGCAGGAAACAGGAAAACCTGGGGCAGGCCTGGGACTGCCACTGTGGCCATCAGGGAAATCATATCCAGAGACTCCTGCGGCCAAGTGAGCTTCCCTCCCTCTGGGCCTAGTCCACCCCTCCTAAGTTCCTTACCCCTTGCTACCTCTTGGGTCCCTCTCCTCACCTGACCTTGAAATTAGCTCCAGCAGCCCCTCTAGATGTCATTTCGGAAACCTATGTTGGGCCCTTCCAGAGTCAGCTTGGCAACTCCCTTGATCCCAGGAGGGTGCCTGATCCTCACCCAAGGGGAGTAGCTCCCCTTTGGGTCTGACCATCCCCTGGGGAGTGTGCAGGGGGTGGGCACACAGGCTGGATTTAGGAAGTGATGGCTTGAGAATCCATAGCTGCTTCATGCACCTGCAAGGATTTTTTTTTTAAATATATATATTTTTTAATATTTTATTTATTTATTTGATTTATTTGTCAGAGAGAGAGAGACAGCACAAGCAGGGGGGGCGGCAGGCAGAGGGAGAAGCAGGCTCCCCGCTGAGCAAGGAGCCCGATGCAGGACTTGATCCCAGGACCCTGGGATCATGACTTAAGCGTAAGGCAGATGCTTAACCGACTGAGCCACCCAGGCATCCCTGCAAGGATGTTTTTTTCCAACTCCAGGGAGTGGGGGCATGAGGCACCTAGGCGGACTGATTGCATGAATATTCTCCCCTGCAGGGGTGGGAATCCCACAGAGGGTGGGCTGCGCCACCTAGTGGACTTTTCGCTCCTTGCAGGCATCCTTCCGACCCTTCCGGGCTTCCAGCCTAGATAGGGGACAAGTTCTCAGGCAGAACCCAAATGGCTCTAATACTTGAGGTGCCCTCCTCCACCAGGAAGGCCTGACTCAGCGCAGAGAGGGAAAAACTAGAGAAATCTGGGAGGGAAAGGACCACGAACTGGCTGAAATTTAAGGCAGTGAGGAAGCCAGCTGTGGTTCTAGCCTGCCTCTCCCTACTACTGTCTCTCCCTATTCTCATGGAAGCCACTGATATGGGGACCATGATCCAGAGCCCTCAGAAACCCTCCCTCCTCTGCTAGCCCTCTTTCCTCCAGGCTGAGCAAGACTGGCCTCAGCTCTGCTGATCAAGGAAGAGCTGGTACAGGCTGGAGCTGCTGGCTTCCCTCTGACGTCAAAGCCTGGAAATCCCATTTTAAGCAGGTTCTCAGGGTGTGGGACACACACAAGAAAGGGAGGGGGAGCCAGCTGCAGCAGCTCCAGCCCTGAGGACATTCTATCCAGGGACCTCAAGTGTCCCCAAGACGGCTTGAGCATGGGGCACAGGGCTAGACCTCAGCTCCCACTCAAAAGCTAATATCCCTTGATGCCCACTGGGGACCCAGGCAGTGATCAAGCATCCTCCACGTTAGCTCTAGCCTCTGTTCGGACATCTCTTCCCCACTGCCCTAGCCTAGAGGTCTACTGAGGCAGATGGGAGAGGGCAGGTGGTCCCAAGGAATGAGATAGAGCAAGATGTCACCTAGCCCCAAATGTGTCCCACCAGCCCCTCCCAGGAGGCTTGCCCTCCATCTCGTTGTCACCCTCCACCTCTCCTCTCCTCCCCTGCACCACAGGGGCCAGGCCCTGAGCCGAGTTCTAGGAGACTGACTCAATGTTTCCATGGCAACGGACCAGGGAGCTTGGAAATCTGAGCATGTTCCTGTTGACACAGAGAAACCCAGATGTGCATGGAGAGCCTGGCATGGGGAAACTGGCAGTGACCTCCTTAGCCACCGGTCCCTGCGGGGGGGGGGGGTGTATCTGCGTGCGTGTGCATGCACGCGTGCAGGTGTGTTATGCAGCAAATGGGATTTAGGTTAGAGAGGGCCTAACCTGGTTTCCTGACCATATGGTAGCTGCTAGCATGAGACTGCAGCATCTTGCTCTCTGGAGATCTTTCTCGAACGAGGGAGTCTCTCCCCTGAATTCTACCCTGACACATCCTCTCCTTTCGGAGAGAGGAAGGGACCAGTTTGCTCAGAGGCCAGTGGTGAAAGGAATGACCTTCCGAGGTCTGTCGACCGGGGGATTCCAGGGAAGACGAAAAGGACGTTTCTCGCTTCGCCTCCACTGCGACCACAGCTCAAGTTCTTGGCCAGTTGGGCGCAAGTGTGGCAGGAGGACATACCTCTGTGATGCCAGGGAAGGGACAGGGAAGTCTGCAGACTTTCTGCAGACCTGGGGCCAGGCCCGCACACACCCGGTGCCCCAGCCCAGGCTCCGCCTCCTCCATTTCTCTTCCACAAGGCTGTGCTGTTTCTCCTCTCCCTTCATTCTTCCTCCTCCTTGCCTCACCACCCCCCCCACCTTTGCCTTTGTTTTTCTCTTCCCATTCTGCCTCCGCCCCTCTGCCATCCTTTCCCTTCCCCTGCACACTGCCTTGCAGGTCTCATTCCTAGCTGCTTGTGCCCCTTGGCCCCCAGTGGCCTTGACTCTACCTCCCAAGGACTCAGACCCCATCGGATGCAGCCTCCCTCCCTCTCTCCTCCAACGCAGCCCAACAGCCCGGGGCTCAAGCCCTCCCTCCCGGCGCCACAGGGACTGCCTCTGTGGCCCCAGCCTTTGGTCCTCTGTCCCCAGGGTCAGACATGCACCATGAGGCTGGTTCCCCATCACCACCTCTTCCCTCAGCCTACCTGTCTCCTCCTTTCAGAGTCTCTGGCTCACAGCTCCCCTCCAACATTCTTTGGCCTTTCTAGACACTGTGGCCATCCAATCTCCCCGCCCTGCCCAGCAGCCCCCAAATCCTATCTTCTCTTCCCTGGGAACCTCATGGGGGTCTTTGTCGTTAGAGCTTACACGGGCACTTTCTATCAGGTATCAGAAGGCCCACTGGGGGAAGAGGTCTCTGAGCAGGATTCTGAGGGACAAGACCACCTTGAGGTTGGGGCCCCTAGCCCTTAAGTCCTGGTCTCTCTTACTCTCCCGGCTGTATCTTTTTTTTTTTTTTTTAAGATTTATTTATTTGAGAGAGGGAGAGCACGTGTGCAAGCAGGGGGAGTAGGAGGGGCAGAGGAGAGAGAGAGAGAATCCTGAAGCCGACTCCCCGCTGAGCACGACTTGCTCCCAGGATCTTGAGATTAGGGCCTGAGCCGAAATCAAGAGTTGGCCGCTTCACCGACGGAGCCACCCGGGCGCCCCCCCCATCCCCCGGCTGTATCTTGAACCTCCAAACCATTTTCCCAGACTGAACCAGCTGAAGCCCATCTCGTATCTTGGAGATCAGAACTCCTGGGGCGCGCAGTCCAACCTCTTCCCCCTCCCTCCCACAGCTGGGCCCTGCTTTTCACTTGAGGTCCTTCTCACATGTGGCCTGGGGGACCAAGAACAAAGCACAGAGGCCGAAACACATGAGGTGCCAGAATTTGGTTTATTGGCTCATCCGGTGCCGAAGGTCCAACGGGCACCCTCTTTCCGCAGAATTGGGAGCCCTTGGGCTCCTAAATTTCTTTTCTTCTTCACACACTCCTCCTGGCCCTGACTGAAGCCATGGCAGAAGCTGGGGTAGAGTGTGGGGCAAAGCCTGGGCTCATAAGAGCCTGCTCACATGGGGCCCAGTTTGCTTGGCACAGGAAGAAGGCTCTGGGGGAAAGGAAGATGAGCCCCCAGGTGAGGAGGAAAAGAGCTGGCTCAGCAGGGGCCTCTGCAGTGGGCCCCGGGGGGGTGGAGGAGCCCAGCACAGGGGCAGTGCAGGAACGGGAGGAGGCTGAAGGGTATCAAGGGCAGAGGAGGAGGTAAGAGGTCCTCAGAATCCCATCCTCTCAGGGCGGGCTGGCGTCCTCTGAGGGTCTGAGAGTAGGAAGGAGGGCTGAAAGCAGGGAAGGGCCAGCCGGGGCTTGCGGTGGGGGGTGGTCACTGCTGGCAGGAAAGTCCTTTACCCCAAATCCCCCCCACCCTAGACCCAGAAATACACACACACACACACACACACACACCCCTAGAGCCCCACTTCTTTTTAGCGGGGCATGTAGCACACAGCCCTACCCAATGCCCCCAGCTGCAGCTCTGGCCTGGCCATCCTGGTCCTTTAAATGCACATTAAGGCCCTGCCCTCCATTCACAGGTGTGGCCTGGAGCCCTTGGCCAGGTTCTGTGAAGCCTTCCCCACGCCCTCCTGGTCTCCCAGGTGCCTTCGGGCCCATCTCTGGTCATTCTGGACTGTGACTGCCCCCCACACCGCACCCCAGACAGAGCACTGGGGGCATGTTAGGATGGCCATGGTCTTCAGCAAGGCACTGGGTGGGTGGGGGCAGGACTGGAGCAGGGAGAATAGCAATTTGGGCTCTAAGGAGCCCCCACTTCCTTGGGTGGCTCAGTCCTCAGCAACTCCTCCAGCCTCTACCCTCCACCCCCACAGCAGGGCCTCCTTCCTCTTTTCCAAGACCTTCCAGAGGAGGGGTCACTGGGCAGGCAGCCATTGGAGGGGCCCTGGGGCCTGAGACACTTGGGCTACTGGCACAGTGTGGACCAGGGGCTCTGCAGCCTGGAGGGGGCGGGGTCAGGACCTCAAGCCAAGTCACCCCCGCCAGAGGTCTTCTTCTTGGGCCGGGTCTTCAGTGTCTTCGAAGCCAGTGGCTGTAGGAAGGAGGGAGGAAGTCAGAGGGCTCAGCCAAGGCTCACATCCCCTCCCCCTGTCCCCAAGCTCTGGCCTGGGCTCTCACCTCAGTTTTGGGCACTTTTTTGACCGGTTTGACCCGCTTAGGGGCCTTGTCTCCCATATCATCTTCAGAGGTCTCTGTCCGGGGATCTGCCTGGTTCATGCTAGACCTTAAACTCAGGGCAGGATCATCTCCTGCTTTGGGGGAGCAAAGGAGAACAGAGGTCTGGTGGCTCTCCCACCTGGCCTCCATGTCCTCAGGGTACGCACCCCCCGCCCTCCCTGTGCCCAGCCCAGGGCCCTGCCTGTACCTAAGTCCTCAATGGTGTCCAGGAGGCTGCCGGGGCTGGGGCGGAGCCGGCTGTCAGGCCCCTGCAGGGGCAGTGCATCCTCGTCCCGGATCAGGGTCAGGTCCTGCATGCTGAAGCTCCGGAGCTTCTCTGAGAGCACCCCCTGGCCCTAGGGTCACCACCACGCACCGGGAGAACCGGAGGAAGGGGCGGGGTGGAGATAGAGGTCACCAGGGAGCACGCGCAGCTTTCCCCACATTGTCCTCACCCCGTCCCACAGCAGCACTGACAGGCTGGGGCCGCACCTGCCGTTTGCACAGACGAGGACACTGGCCCAGAGAGGGAATCACATAGCCGGGGGCTGGTAGAGCCAGGCCTGCACCCCTGAGTTGCACAAGCCCCAAACCATCACAGCCCCAAGGACAGGGTAGACGCAAAGGGGCTTGGCCAGGGGCATGAAACGAGCAAGGTGGGGTCCTGGGAGCCCGGGTCTGCCCCCCATCTCACCTTGGCAGCGGCTGTGACCGCGGCATTGGCGGCCAGGTTCAGGCCCCTCTTGCCCACCCTCATCATGGTCTCATAGCTCTTGTCTCGGGCCTGTGTGATGTACTCGTCGATCTCCTGAGGGGTTGGAGGGGAAGGAGCAGGAGGTGAGGGGTAGGCCCCACTGGCCTGGCCCTGCCCTGCCCTTGTTCACACCTGGGCAAAGGCACGGCCTGCTCCAGGAGGCCAGGGCCCTGCCAGATCTCTTCAGGTTCTGGGCACCCACAGGGAGAGCCAGGAATGCACACGGCTGCAGGCGCTGGGCTGCCTCGGCCTGGGGCGGGCAAGGAAGTCAGCCGAGAGTGGGGGCAAACCTTCTCCTTGTTGGACAGTGTCGGGTGCACGAACTTGCGGTAGAGCACGCTGGAGCCCTTGGTGTAAGGGGACAGAAGCCATATCACAAAGGCGATCTTGAGCTCAAAGTAGAAGGGGAACCTGTTGGTGGGACAGAGGCGAGTGGCAGAGCCTGGGATAGGGAGTCAGGGGGTGAGCTGACCCCCTGCAAGACCCCTTAGTGCACTGGGGTCCCCACGGGGCTCGGGCGACTGGGTATTTCTCAACTGCAGGAGAATGGGAGGCTCGGCTGAGACCGCAAGTGGGGCAGGTGAGAAGTGCCCCCAGCAGGAATCCCCCTCGGCAGTGGCTCTCTGCGCACTTCATTCTTGGAGTTCCAGGCCTCTCACTCTGACGGAAGATTCCTACTCCTCCGTCCTGGGTGCACTCCCGGGTCCTCAACCCCTTCTCTTCCTGCCCTCCCCCCCACGAGGAAGACTCCCATCCCTTGCTGTCATGACATGCCTCTTGCTTTTAAGCATTGCTCTCCATTCCCCCGCTCCTTCTCCTCAGGCCACAGACTCCTTCACATCTCCTACTTCCTCACAAAACTTTTTCCTTTGTTTGTGTCGAGAAGCATCTATGCTCGCTGTCCTCAATTTCTAACCCATTATTCTTTCCTAATCTGACCCCACTCAACTTCTACTACAACTGTTTTTCTCAAAGGCCACTGGCCCTTACAATCTACAAAGGCAATCATCTTTTGTCCTCTACTTCTCCATAAAACTGTCCTCTCTTCGTCCTACAATGTTCTATGTTGTGTTACTCCTCTCTTCCAAGAGGCGTGTGCTCACCCGATAAACATTTTTTGAGCTCCTGCTGTAAGTATACATATAGCAATTAAGACATTCTCTGTCCTCCAAGTGCTCGTAACATAGTCTAGTAGTGCTTCGACATACCAGCCTCGAAAGTTTGTAAGATTGAATCCTATTTTACCAACAGGGAAACGGAGACCTACAAAGCTGTAACCTGCCCAAGGTCACACAGCAAGTCTGGCAGAAGCAGGCTGCCTGAATTCTATGGTGGTGCTTTGGCTGCCACCAGAAAGAAAGGTGGGGGCCATGTCTCTCATTCTACTGATCAAGTCAGGCCTGTGTGGAGAAGGGTGGACATTCAGGACCCCATGGAACTGTGGGGGGACTCCACACCAGCTCTCAATCTTTGGTTTGGCTGGTGGGGTAGAGAGTCTAAACCCTGGGCCCTGGGGTGCAGGGTAGGGATGCTGGACCTCACCAGGAAAGCACGATATCCGTGAGTGTCTCAGCTGTAGTGAAGAAAGCAAAGACGATCCAGTACATCATCCATTTCACCTGAAGGCACAGAGGGCAAGTGTTAGCTGGGGCCTCAGGGGAACACCCAGGAGCCTGTGTCCACTTGCCAGCTATGGTGAGGAAGGGACACTCAGGATCTCAACTTTGTCTGTGGATCCCACCAGGGCTGGGGGAAAGGAACACAAAGGAACCTTCTGGAAGCAGGGTCTCATTAGTGCTGAGGCATCGATACAAAGTCACTCCTGTCTGTAACGTGACCCATGGTCCTCCCCTATCTCTGCCATGTGGATTGGGTGGGAGATGAAGTGTCACAAACTCACATATTCCTTCACGTTTTTTGTCTTCACGGCCTTGTAGGAAGAATAGGCTGGGTACAAGGTGCCAAAGATGAGCCTAGGGAGGCAGGCAGGGTTACTGGTCCCCTCGGCCAAGAGCAGTGGCCTCTCCCTCCCAGCTCTGCATCAGTCAGTCCCTGGGTAGGTAAGGGAAGGACAGAACTCCAGAGTGCCACATCAGCTGGACTGATGAACTCAGATCAGTGGTTATGGTCAAAGTAGTTCAGCCTTGGAATACACAAGCATGGAGGCCCCCACATGGTAAGGGTGATGCCTTTTCCCCTTTATCGTTCCGGTTTTCTCCAGGCCCTTAGGTGAAGAAAGACCCAGAGGCCAGAGGGTCCAATGTGGTCTCTTTAGCCATGATCGTTGGTCATGCATAAACATATCATGGGGAGTGGGAGGGGGATGGTCACCGCCACAGGTGTCTTCCTTCTATGGACACAGTGCTCATTCATACCCATCTGCCCTTAGCCTCTACTTCCCTGTCTCAGAGCCGGGCCGGGTAGGGCCAGGCCTGTAAGGGAATGTGACACCGCCTAACAGGGCACTCTATGTGGCAGTCAGAGGCACCGCTGTGGCCCTGGGGACCTGGGCCCTAGAAGGGCAAAAAGGTTTATTATCTCATGTAAGCAGCCTTGGGACCAAGCTCAGAGGCGGGGGGAGGGTGCTGGGCTTGAGGCCCTGGCGGGAGTCCAATCTGGTAGTGATCCCATTAGAGACCACATACAGGACACAGTGAACAAGAGGAATGATGCCCCCAGGGAACTCATCCGGGTAAGAGAGAAGCAGCCACCCTGAAGGCCACCGGGAGGTGTGAGGCCCCAGGATTCCCTGGATGGGATGGGGGAGGAAGAAGGGAGACCCTCGCGGATCTAGAGGGAGCCAGGACACAAGCACGTAACAGCACTGAAGGGAAGAAGGCAAGGGGGGAGGGAGTCCTGGTGTGTCAGCCTCCCGACAGTGGTGGCTGAGGGGCAGGGTCCCAGCCGGGGCAGGGGTTGGCTGAGGCCCATGCAGAGCCGCTGCTGGGCCCAGCTCCTTGACAATGTGTGGGTATTGCCTGTGCTCCCAGGGACCTGCCTCACAGAGGCAGGATACTTCCCAACCGACCTGTGGAGACGGGGTGGGAGGGTGGAATCCTCAAGGACAAAGTGTGGGGTGTGGGAGCAGGCTTCCCTCCTGGGGCCGGCGGGGGGGGCGGCATAGCTCCACAATGCGGCTGGCAGCCTGGAATGAAGGCCACCTAACGCTGTCCCCTCTGTGGCTTTCACAAATCCAGGCTGAACACACACGTCCTCTCCCGGTTACCTCCCACACTTTGTCCTCCAAGCATCTCTGCTTCCCAGTACCCAGATGTCCTCCCCGGGGGAGGGGGCCTCCAGAGAATGTGCCCTCAACTCCAGTGTCCTGAGAGTGGAAAAGGAAGGCAGCCAAGGCTGCTAGCTATGGCCCTAAGCTACGGAATGACGAGGCCCTGCCTCGCTCTCCACTCTTCCATTAGCCCTATCCTCGAAGGGAGATGAGGGCCCAGGTTTGAGTTGCCCCTCCACCGGGGATCTGCTAGGTGGGGGAGGGGACATGCCACCTCCCCTCATAAATCAGGCCATGGTGCCCAGCCCTAGGGTGAAGGAGGGCGAAGGAACAGGAAAATCAAAAATAAAAGGTGTGAGAAGCCGGCCGTGCTATGGCTCTTCTAATATTCCCCCCTCCGGTCCTGGGTCCTACACCCCATGTCTTGTCTCCGGGGACCCCAAATAGGGACGATGTGCCTTTAGTTGACTCTGTTGTACGAGGCCCCGGAGCGGTCCATCCAGGGCTTCGGCACCCCTCACCCCCCATCCCTATTCCCCATCCCCCTCCCAGCCGGCCGCGCCCCGCCACCGCCGCACTCACACCACCAGGCGAGAGATGATCCAGGACACCATGGCGGGGCCGGGCGGGGCGCGGGGCGGGGAGGACCCGGCCCGCGGCCGAGGATGCAGGTGCCGGAGGTCGAGCGCCCGCGGCGGCAACAGGAGCTGCAGAAGCAGCAGCAGCCGCAGCAGCAGCCGCCGCGGGGGCCGCGGAGCGCCGAGCAGCCGCGGTTAAAGGGGAGGTCCCTGCCGCAGCGGCGGGCCGTGGGCGGCGGCGGCGGCTCTTAAAGGGGTGGCCCCGGCGGCGGCGGCGGCGGCGGCGGCGACGGCGGCGGCGCGCCCCCCTGCACCTGCTATCACCGGGCATGCGCCTTTGACCCTCAGCGCCCTGCCCTCCTCTAATCGCTTGTTCCTCTTTCTTGGATTCCAAGCCCTGGTTTGAGGTCCTCACAGGCCTTCAGGTTCCATCCTGACATCCTGGCCCTCCTCCCGCCTTGTCCACACCAGGCTGAGGAATACTAGCTAGGGCTTACTGAGTCTTACTGAGTACATACTAACTGCCAGGCCCTGAGGTTAAGAGCTTTACCCGCATTATTTCACTGAATCCTCACTACCATTCCATAAGGCAGAGGTTATAATTATCCTCATTTTGAAGATAAGGAAATGGGGCCCTTAGGGCAGTTCAATAATTTGCCAAGGTCACAAAACCACTAAGTCATGCTAAGATGCAACCCATAAAGTCTACTTTAATCAGGCCACTTCTCCCAACTGCTGGCCAGCAAACTGTCCTCCCCCATTCCAGGCCCTGTAAAGACACCCACCCAACAGCTCCTGAAGTCAAGTATAGCGGCACCTGTCCACCTTACCCCTTCTTGGCCATCACCAATCACCCCAGTTGAAGGAGGACCCATTCCCCCTTCTGATATGCTTTTTTTTTTAAGGTTGTCATTCGCTCAGCTTTGCAGGGGAATGAGCCCATGCTCTCAAGGGGAATACCCCGGGGGCAGACCCTCTTTAAACAGAAGGGCTGGAGGCCTGACGTCTAGGTTGGAGATGGGTCCAGGGGCTCCAGTTCCACCCCCATCAGCAAACACTGGCAGCAGTGTATGCCCTAATTCTGAAGACATTTATATCCAGAATGTAGGCTAGCCCGCCTCCTGATTTTCACCAAAGCAACAAAGCTCCAACCTCTGCAACCCCCTTTTCTCCCCATTGCTTTCCTTTCCTGTCCCATTTCAAAGCTTCTGCATTCTTTAAGTGGAGGTGTAAGTCTTCTGGTGATCACAGCCTCGATCCGTGCCCACCCAGGCTGAAAGGACACGCTCCAAGCTCTGTATTTCAGTTATGGTCCTATTCAGACTCAGTATCCTTGAACCACACAATGGTCTATTTCCACCCTGATAATTGTATTTCCAGGCTCAAACACTTTGGAAGATGTTTTCCAACAGGGTCTGGAGAAGCAGCCTCTAATGACCTCTCCTGCTATTCTTTACAACTTCCTCTTCAAAAGGCCTTTTCTAATGGGAATGTAGTCTGTCCTCAATGCTCAAGCCACTTTAATTACTGCTTGATTAAAAAAAAAAATCCCATTTGGGTCTTTCCCCACCAACTCTGAGGTGGATCCAGGGCCACAGTGTTTCCTATGTGGGCAGCCAGGCCTTCTGCTTTGAGGAACCCCATCACCGATTGCCCAAAACCTTGCTCATGCCATCCGCCACCCCCCTCGTTCCTGACTGCCCCAGGAAGGTCAAGACCTCACCTTTCCCATTCCATGCACACATCATAAACTATGGAAAACCCATATTTTCTCCCACCTTCTAACTCAAGTGACCTTCCCCCCGCCCCCCAAGCCCACAAACCACAATGACCTGGCACTTTCCTCTCTCAAAAAGGCACCAATTCAGGAAGCAAAGGGTAATTGGAAGCAGCAATGTAATGAAGATCTGAAAATGAACCATCCTCCACCTTCAACCCGCACTCAACCTGCTTTCGCTTTTCAGAACGGCTGGCACAGGAAGAATTTAGTCCACTCCAAACAGATTTGTTAGATTTTTAATAAGAACATGGAAATCCCAATCAGCCCTTCAACAAAATTAAAATACAGAAAGTGAAATTAAAAGTATTCTACAGTAAATGACTTTTATTAAAAAAAAAAAAAAAGGAACTGTGAACATATAAACAAGCCTGCAGGGCACTACCGTACAGCTGGAAAGAAGACAGATACATTTTCCAACGTATCTACGGGCCAATGAGTTCCATCACTTTCAAATAAATTCTTAATAAAACTCCACGGAGTTGGAAAGTTTTGCAGAAAATATTTTTGGACAAAAAACCCAAAAAACCAAAAAGCCTCATGTAGGAAATCAAACTTTCCTTTGCATTTGGAAGTGTAAGAGGAGTCCCAAGGGAACGCTGGTAATAGGTGAAAATGGTTCCTGCGTCACTGGTGTGTATATTCATAGGACACACCACAGGTCAGACAGGACAAAGTTCCTTCTCAGTTGGCTGTTCCCTCAACAAAGGACTGAGATGGGAGGGGAAGAAAACTAAAAGAATCCTAAAAAGCCAATCCTTTTAAATTCTGCTTTGGCTGATTTTGTGCTATAATGGGCAGTTGATTTCTAAAAATCATATTTCTTCAAAGATTTTTATCGAAAGGAAGACTAAATGTAATGTGCCTTTCCTCATAATCCAGGAAAACAACTGTGGTATTTCAAAAATTCTAAAAATATCTACTTTCATGAAATAGTAACTATTTCACTACAAACCTATTTTTCACTAAATACACACATTTCCTAATCCTGGAGCCTCCTGGGAAAAGCAGTGGGTTCTCCCTGGGTCCTGCAAGACTCCAGTGTTCACGGGAGAGATTGTGGGGAATGGCTTCACCCCGTCTCCTGGGATGGGCTGTGTCAGAGGTCACGTGCAGAGACACTGTCAGGCTTCCACCAGGCATGTTTAAGCAATTACCCCCTACTTGTACCAGTTATGGGATTCCCCCTACCTCCAAACACATTCCCACTTCACTAGGCACGAGAGAAAAAAGAAAAGAAAGGTGTGCCCACATTCCCGGTTTCCACGGATCTCAAGTCACGAGAATGTGCAGGAAAGCCCAGCAACGTTCAGGCAATTCAGAGTTCCAAAAGACCACAGGATGGGGATGTGGAACCCTCGGCTTGGAGTCTGAAACTGTGTGTGTGAACAGTGCAACTTTCCTGTGTCAACCTTCAGTGTTGAGGCAGCGTAGAAAAGAGTGGCTGGAGTTTGTAATACTGACCACACTGGCTCCAAGTGAAGGGCCTCTGCTCCAACAGAGAAGCCCGCCGTTCCCTGTATGTGTTGTGAGTGAAAAACCTGCTTCACAGGGGAGTCTGGAGTTTCTCCACGCCTAAGACCTTGCCAGTTTGGATTCATGAGCCTTGAGGGTGCCAACAGCATCTTTCACTGCGTGATAAATGATGTTCTTCACCTGGGGAGAGCAATCAGTAGTCAGTTCATGACAGCTCCATATTATATTCTCAAACAAAAATGTGTGTGTTTTTTTTAAGATATTATTTATTTGACAGAGACAGAGACAGAGAGAGAGAGAGAGAGTGCGCACGTGTACGCGAGCAAGCACACGCAGGGGGAAGGGCAGAGGGAGAAGCAGACTCCCCAAGTGAGCAAGGAGCCCGATGCGGGGCTCGATCTCAGGACCCCAGGATCATGACCTGAGCTGAAGGCAGACGCTTAACCGACTGAGCCACCCAGGAGCCCCACAAAAATGTATGTTTTACACAGCCTATAAAGCCTACTGGTTAATGAGGAAACCTCTCAGCCAGGACTGCATACTTCCCAAATCAATCCCAAAGATGATTTACAAATCACAGAGGATATAAGGTATATAATCAAAAAAGAATGATGAACCCATTTGAAAGGCTATATAATCACACTTTCATCTATATGCTTAGTAAGTGCTGGGCACTACCGCTAAGCTTTTCACGTGGACTTTCATTTCATCCTTTCCACAATCTTAGGAGGTCAATTCTATTATTATCACCATTTTTACACATGAGAAACTGAGGAAACCAAGGTCCGGTAGTTAAGAACCTTGCCTAAGCTCCTGGAGCTAACAGGAATGCACTAAAACAACAGTGGGCAGGTCAGATTATTGGAAATTTTTTTCCCTTTGTGCTTGTACGTATTTTCTTATTGTCTAAGAGGAACACATATTATACATCAAGCAGGAAGGAACACTTAGAGTCACTAAAGTAACAGGCTAAAAAGAATTTTAAACCCAGATAGTGATAATTTCTGGGGAGGGAAAGTAAGGAGACAGAATGGGGAAGGGTACACGGAAGCTTCAATAATGTAGTTGTTCTGTGTGTCCTGTGTGTTAATGCTGTTTATCTGTATGTATAGGATGCTTTAATTCTTACACTGAGTGATGGGCACACAAGCCCCCTTTTGCTATTCCTTATTAAATTTTTGTACTAATTCAACAAATATTTACTGAGTACCTACTATGTATCAGATACTGTGCCAGGGAAAAGCAGGGAATAAAATAATAAAATCCCTGCCTTCGTGGAGCTTAAATAGCTTACATTCTAGTAGGGATAGAAACAAACAGATAAAATACCTAATATGTTAGTGAAAAATACTACAGAAAGAAATAAAGCAGCGACAGAGGACTGAGAGTGTTGGAGGTGACATGTCCCAAGTAGAGAGACCTAATGGCGGTGAGGTCTGAAATGGCGGTAGGCCTGCAGAGCTGCATTTTATCTACAGTATCAATGTTACCTGTTTATCCCCATGATTGGACTTTGTCTAAGAACCTTTATGGTTGAAATGTTCTACATGTTAAAAAAGGAACAGCCAAAAAGATCAGATCAGGGTTGAAGGTGACTGAATCTACTGGCGGGAGGCGGAGAGACTGCGTATTTGGATTGCTGAAGTTCTGCCTGGGGAATCTTGCTTCCTGATTCTTCTTTTCTTTTTTTAAATGCTACTGCAGCACCCAATAATTCTTAGGGACATGGACTGCAGTCCTCTCAGGACTTTAAGGAACTGATTCTGCACAAAAATGTATTGTGAGAAGCAGCTCTGGGGAAGTGCCCTTCTTGGAAACATGCTTGGAACACACTGCCACAGAGCTTTCGCCACCTGACTGGGAAAAGTCAGTCTGGTCAATTATCAGCACTAAATACTGTATCTCCCAGGGGCAGAGAAATAAAAGGTGATGGCGGAAATGATTACATTAAAAGGTGAGTGTTCTCTAAAAGCAAGTGTGACGAGGACCGATGCAGA